CACCCCACCTCTTCTCCCTACCACCAGCACCCACACATTCAGATTTCCAGGAACAGAATTTCAAAAGGTGTTTGTGGACTATTGTTCTCTTATTTGTTTGTTTTTTATGCACTCTTTTTTTAAATTACTCTGCATATGTTAACCCAATCAATTCTAGATTGTAGGCTTTGTATCTCAAGGAAACAATTTTTCCCCATTGATTGTTTTAGGGTTACTTTTAAGGATGATTTATTCTTCGCGTTTTGGGGATAGTTTCATTGTAAGAATCGTGGGACTGCTTAAAAATAAAAAATTGTTTCCTCAAGGTGTTAGGCCTTGGGAAAGGTGGGTAAGAAATCTTTTTGCACAACTTTCAAACTCCTGATTTTTATGTGAAACGTGAAGGAGAAAAAACTGTTTTTTTTTTCATTTAGAAAATGTAGTATTGATGATCATACACAAAGTAATCATTTGGTGTAGATTGTTAAATTGGTTTTGTTGATTCTGATTCTTTAGAATCAGTTAGAATGAGCAGATCTTTCAAAAAAAAGCTAGAATGATCTTTCAAAAACCAGTGGGTGATTTTGTTCACCATAATCTGTCTTTTAGAATCAACTGTTGATTCTCTTGATCCGTCATATCCGATGGGCCAAAGATTCACTTTTTTGGCCTTGGGGTATGATGGAGTAAAGCAAAATGGCTCTTTAAATTGTTTGCGCTTGAAGTATCATATAGTCAATGCAACATTCGACGCTCATATGGGTTATCTGGGAACAACCATAGGATAAGGCTGCGTGCTTCCGACCCCCCCAAATCCCATAATGGGTAGGAGCCTTTGAGGCACTGGGGTAATGTTGTTGTTGCAACTGTTAATTCTCTATAATCAACAAAAGAATCATGCAAGAATATGCCAAAGGCAGAATAATAACCAAACAGGCCCAAACTATTGTGAATGAAAACTGTTTTTTTCTATATCTTACTTTTTTGGTTGTGAGCTTATGTGTTAGTTGGTTGGTTGGTTATTTGTCTATATTATTATTATTATCCTACTTATTAATTTGGATATTTTTCATGCTATGACAAATATATCTTTGAAGTAGCATTCACTAAGGTTTATTTTGATTATTTTCTCTCATCTAATGATCAATATTTGACCACAACATTCAGATGCTAAATGTAAACAATAATGACATGCTTTTGCATTTATTGTTCTGCATGAAGCATTGATCAAGAGGCTGAAATTCAATGATTTCCACACTCAAGTCTATATACAAAGCACACTAATTATGATTTGACATGTGGTTTGGAGAAGAAAAACACTTCTTGGAGGCTTTTTAACTTATAGATATTACAAAAGCAGAAAATTGCATGATGATTCGATACTAATTGCAAAATAACATGTCTAGCCTTAAATTGCTCCCAAAATTTTAAGATTTTTAATACATATGTTTTTGTTACATTAATTGGGGTTGTAAAAACATGGCACGAAACCTCATTCCTTTAGCTGAAAGTTAATTTATATGGTGATTTATTTAATTTTATTTACTAATTTCTCATTGTATTTATTGTTGCAAGACTAAAATCTTTTGCATATCATTGCTATATGCATGCAATGTTCAGATGGTTCTAGATTTAGATCTTAATGGTCCTCCTAGGGTTGAAGATCTTTTAGTAATGGACAATGGCATTCATGTGAATACAAATTTAGAGCTTGGCCTTCCACGATTGCAAGTCATGGCAAATTCTGATGCTCCAGATGATGATGTTGTGATATGCTCACCAAGAAGCTTTGTCGAGGTATACATACTTATTTTAAAGACCTCTCATGCCTTACTTATCTCACTCACTTCCCTTTTGATGGCGTGTTATGCAACTTGAACATTGCATATGTTTTCCCATTAGGCTAAGAAAAAGTCAAGGAGGAACCATCCTGTAATAGAAGTTTTAGATGAAGAATCTGATGCAAACCAAGGACCTCCAGGTCTTTTCTAGTTCTAATTTGTATTATCTTGTTAATGTGATAATGTTCTGTATTGAGTCTCAACCAATGCAAAATAATGGTTATAGAGTCTTCTTTGGTACATACAAACCTAGTCATGAGGCTTTTGAGCCATTATAAATCAAACAGTTATATGATTGTGTTTCAATTACTTCCATTCTTAGTCCGCGTGGAACATAAGAAATACTAGGTAAAGAATTTATGGAGGATAGTTGGAAGTATCTAAAATCAATCTCAATAAATTGATTTTAGATATTTCTTCGAACTCTTTTTAGTTATTTATTTATTTTTTTAATTTATTTGTCTATTGCATAGAGATTGGGAACTTTCTGGAAACCACCACTCTACCTCTCTATGTAGGGGTAAGGTTTGTGTATTCATATCCTCCCCATACCTTACTTTTGGGACTCTACCGGGTATGTTATTGTTGTTGTATAGAGACCAGGAACAAGTATCTGTAAAGGAGATTTAAAAATTATTCACATTGCCTTTTCTTTGCATTTTTCGAGGAAAACCCCAACACAAGAAAACAACTTCCCTTAGCATTATTTTCGCTTTTATTAGAACTATTCGAGATCCAACCATACATACCCTTAAGGACGAGGCATATTTGAGTTGACTCAATCGGAAACGGAAAACAACAATTTATAAGAATAGTTTAAAAATGTAGTGAAAAAGGTGCTGAAGTTTTGTTTAAAAGGCCATAACATTTTTCTGTTCTCTCCAATTTTCATTCCTCCTTAAATTACCATAGGCCTCTTGCCTTAATTTTAAGTGGAGTCTGGCGAGTGGAGAGTCTGGAGTTGAATAGAATAGGCCCTAAATGCTCCAAATTATTTTATCAGCGCTACTGTATGACTATTTTTATAATTCACTAATTTTCATTTCCATCATAGAATAGGCTTTTTTTTCTTGTCTTAATAGGCAGGGTATTGAGTTCTCATAATTTTTCTCTTTAATACATGCATAAAGTATCATTTTTAACTCAAGACTTGTAAAAGATCTCCTATTTCATTTGTTCTGACCCTTGTTTTTCTGCTGAAGGGGCAGTTTTTGGCAATCCTGGCATCAATAGACGATGGAAAGATCCAAGAAGGAACAAAGCAAGTGTTTTGTGCATAGACTTGGAAGCTCCCATGGTGATTTGTATTTTATGTTTGTTTTCTTCCATGATTCTTCCTACTTTTGACCCATGATTTATAAATGTTTTTCCGATGTGTTTTTTACTTTTTGTGCCATATACCCTGATTTGCCCGGAGTCAAAGGTAAAGCTATGGCTTCCCAAATAAGACTTGTGAGGGGCATCTATCTAACTGCTTAAGGTATTGACCATGAGGGAATAAATGAATAAATAAAAAGAAACTAGGGTGCTCTTGATTGTGCCATTGGTACTCTAGCAAACCGCATGCCATTTACTTCAACCCTTGGACTTCACATCATGGTCATCATCAACTTGTTACTCCCAGCATAGTTTTTGTCTCAATTAATCATCTTAAGTTAATCATTACTACTCAGCCATGCAAAAAAAAAAAAAAAGAAAAAAGAAAAGACAGTTGTTTCTCTATTTGTATGAAGAAACAAAGGCAAAAGCCTATATGCTTGATGCCATTTGTGTCACCACCTTCAAAAGATGGAACAATGTATTGAATGCCAAAGGAATCATCGTCATAGGTTTTCAAGTTAGGCATGTTTGTTTCGGTTTTTAAGTTTATCGATGGACCCGGTATGAGTTTAGAAGCCACCATTTACTTTTGATGATTTCAGTTGCTCTTGTGGTGGGTTTCTGTGTGTTTGATGGTTATTGTGTTAATTAATCAGATTGTGTGAAATCATTTATGTGGCTGTATATTATGGAGATATATATATATATATATATATATATATATATATATATATATATATATATATATATATATATAAAGGCGTGGAAATTTTTGAAACAGCAAAGGGAGGGTTATAACAGGCAGCAAAGAATGGTGGCCCGCCAGCCAGCAGCGGCGGCTCAACCAAAACCACCAGCCTTTAGTTGCCCGATTTGTATGGGGCAGTTTGTGGAAGAGACGTCGACCAAGTGTGGACACATTTTCTGTAAGAAATGTATCTTCGCCGCAATAGCTGCCCAGGGGAAGTGCCCCACCTGTAGATACCATCCATTCAAAGAAAAAGACACTTTCAGGATTTACCTTCCTACATCATATTAACAACATCATAAGATTCCAAAGTGTAAGTACTGTTCTTCTATCTTCTCCTCTCTAGGCATTATCATCTACATCATATTAACATCACAAGATTGCTCCATTTGTCCCGCTATTTTTGTCCATTTTACCCTTTTATCCGTTCTATTATTTTTTGTCCCGTACGATATTTAGTCATGTTTGTGTGCTTCACACATTCTCTTGTCTTGTTCTCCAGGTTGTTGCAGGGTCTAACTTTTCTAATTTTTTGATGACTTGGGGATTCTCTTTGATCTTCATATCCCTCTCTTTGGAGCAAGAAAGACATGGGGGTAGGTTTTTGTTTCAATTGATAAGATGAATAATTATGTTTTTTTTATGGGTGACCATTTTGTCAAACCCAAAGACAAAGTGAAGCAATTTTTTTCTTGAGAAGTGAATTTCAGTGTTGTTTTTTGAGTTCCATTGTGTTATTGTCTGTCTTTGTTGTATTCATCTACAAAACTACAATTGAAATTTTGCCCAGAGAAATGTTCAGAGGTTTTTAAATTGATTTTCCCATACACTATTTACATAGTCAAATTATAATCACTTTCTTTATCTATTTTTGTTAGTTATTTAATAAAATAATATATTTATGTCACATTTTGTTTTGTAGAACTTTTGATGTAGTATTAAAATATAAAATTTTTATTTTTTAGTTATACATCTATAATCAAATAAATTGAATTGAAAAAATTTTAGTCAACTTCATAAATCAAACTAAAAAAGATTATTTTATGAACGGGGTATTTTTTTTCCCCTTGATTTTGGCATAGGAAGAAAGTTGTGGACAAGAAAATGAGAAAAAAAATCGGCACGTGTACAATACATTGGTGTGTAAATTAAGCATGGTGCGTGCAACATTTGAACATGAGTAATTTTCACATCAAAATGAGCACTCTTTAGGGTATTTGTACTCTATAATGTCTCACCATCGTTCACTTCAAACCAGCAGTCATTCAGCATTACATTAACAAAGATTGTACTCATCATTTCACTCATTTAACACTTGTAATGCTTATCCACTATTGTAATGATTACCCTTTTATTTTTTATAACTAATTACCTTTTTATTTTCAAATTAAATATATCATTTATAAAATAATAATATTTTTATGAACAAAATTTTTATTTTTGGGTTTATTTTTTTTTTATTTCATCATAATTTTTTTTCTTGTTTTGGATGAACTAATTTTTTTTGTAATTTTTTTAAGAATTAAATAAAAAACATTTAATTTAAAAATTCATTACACAAGATAGATAAGAAAACATGAAGTACAAGCTGAGGTTTAGACTGGTTCTGTAAATATTTCGTCATCACTAGACAAATTGAAAGAAAGAGTAAACAAATAATTTATCTTTTGGGTATAATAGAAGAGGAAAGAGATATAAAAATAAGAAGGGAATCTATTGAAAAAATATATGGATTTGATGGTTTAAACACAAGAGAGAGAACAAAATGAAGTCTTCAAACCAATGAATATTAAGCAAAGTAGTAATGTAATAAGCTTGGCATTTAAAAAAACATATAAATAATAGATGTGCATAAATGATATGCTCATTCTCTTTAGATATATTTCACTATATTACGTATTAGATAAATAATTAAATATTTTGAAAAAGTATATTTGATAACTACGTGATATCATTAAGAAACTTATTTGAAAATATAAATTTATACATTAAAAATGAGTATTAAGAAAAAATTTAAAAAATAACCTTATTTTTGTTCCATTATTTTTATATTAAAGTACATGATTTTGAAAATTTTTTATGTTAGCAGATCAATCAGGTTGAGTTCGGTCGGGTTTGAATTATTTTAAGCAGGTCTTTTTGAATTCGGTTATTTTGGAATTCGGCCAAAAAAACCTTTACTCAAAATTCAGTATTTTCGAGTAAGGTCTTAGATAAAAAAATATATCGGACCAATCTAAGTGGACTAGATTTGAGAGTAGACTGCTACATTGGTGCTCATGGACATTCTCACACAAACTATTACTACGTACATGAGTAATTATTTAAAAAAAATAAAAAATACTTATGTAAATAGTAAGAATTTGCTAACCACTTTTTAACTCCATTATACTGTATCATTAAAATGGTTAATTTTACTCAAAAATTATCGAGCATTTAGTTAAACCTAGCTAAATATATTATTACCTCCGTGCAAATCAAATGTCACTTTTATGCTCTATTTGTGTTAAAATTCCAAAGTTAGATGTTTGAAAAATTTGAAAGAGTTGGAAAAAGTTGTAATAAATTAAGAAAATGTTGGAAGAATATTAGTGTTAAAAAGTCACTCAAAATGTTTTTTGGCGTGTCCACAAATTGTTTTTTTGTTTAAGACTCTTTTTTGCGTATTTTAATTTTTTCATTTCGTTTTTCCATATTTTAATTTTTTATTCTGGGTTTTTTTAACTTTCCAAAAAAATATTCTCAGTAACAAAAAGTGAAAATGTTTAATTTGAGATAGATGTAATGCATGTTACTTTTTTTAAAATTTTATTTCAAACACAGAATTTTAAAATTTTTAAAACATTATAAAAATTGAGAAGAAATTTTAAAAAAATTCTAGGAAAAGGAAAAAGAGATAGAAAATATTTTTTTAAAAAAAAAGGAAAAGCACAAATAATAAACAAAAAAATAAGAAATGAATACGAGTGCCCCCTATGGTTTATAAATAATGCGCCAATGCCCTCTCTTCGCTCGAAAATGGCCGGAAAATGATCCGAGGGGGCGTGGGTGAAACATTTAGAAACCACGAAAACTTTAGAAATAAGTTTTGAAAACAGATGAGGTATTGGTGCCAATTTTTCAAAACATTTTGGTCTTTTTTTGACATCCATTCATCACCATTATAAATAGGGGTGTGTTGCTTAGTTTTCAGAGTCAAAACAAGAAGAGGAGGGGACACAAATCCAATAATAACCCACCACCACATCCCTAGGGGAGGGGGTTGCAATAATGCCCCACCACCACCACAAATCCAATAGTTCCCCATGGAATGATGATTAATGTGTTGCTAATGAATCATTAAAACAATGAAAACAATCACTCAAATCTTCTGTCAGACCTCCTCCTCAGCTCCTTCACTTCTCCTCCTCACATTGAGGTTCTGAGCTGCGCTGGCGGCGACTGCAGGGGCGGTGATGGCCGCCATTGGACTTTCCGTTACGGGACTGTGGGCCCCGCCCCTTGCGCCGCCCATGTCTTTGGTCTTGTGCAAGAGAAAAGTGCCACACAGGATGGTCATGAACCCACACAGTTCTGTGACTATCTGTGTTGCATCATTGTGATCCCACTCCTGCAGGCAGAAAATCCAACCCAAACAAGAAAAAAAAGTCAGTGGGAAGAAAACCCATGTTTTTAAGAGCAAAAACATGTTGAATAATTGATGTGGGATCATCATCATATCATCATCATTATCATGATCATCATCACCTTGAACATGATGACACTAGCAAGAATGGTGAGGGTTGTGAACATCACGTAATACACCGGTGACACCACTGCGGTATTGAATGTGTCCAGCGCCTACACATACACCAAGCAAGGCAAGGGGCCAGAGTCATAATATAAGTAACACCAGTTCATCTGAGAGCCCTACCCAAAACATGGCAAAAAGGGTACCTACCTTGTTCAGATAGTTGAGCTGAAGAAGGCAACACATTATGACACACACAATGAAGAACCATGTCTGGAAGTATTTGAACTGATTCATTCCTTCAAATGTTAGCTTTAGAGCTGTTCCTACGGCTTTCACCCCCATAACCTGTAACACCACCAAAATGGTGCAAAAAAAAAAGAAAAAATATAAGGCATATTAAGGCCACTTAGGCGAAGATTAGACGAATAATCCTTTTTTTTTATTTTGTTAGAATTTGGGAGGGGAGAAAATGGAACCGTGAGGGAGCCGGTGAGAGAGCAGATGCCAATGTAGACAACCATGTGTGACTGTCCATAGAGTGGGACAAAGCGGACGACAAGTAATACAACCACGATTATAACTATGCCAGTGTAGATGATGAATCCTGCACATTGTCAAAAAAGAACGTGGAGGATCACAGAGATGAATAAAAGCATCTGCTGCTGCAGAATGGATGCCATAGAACATCTCCATATTTCCCTTATCCTCTACTAAGGGCTATGGCTTATTTGAGTTTCCATTCAACTATTGCAGATATGGGAGGATGTACTTTTTTATTGTCCTTTCCATTGAGAAATACATTAATAGATACAACAACAATATAAACAAACAAACCCAGTAGAATCTCACAAAAGTGGGGTCTAAGGAGGGCGCGTGTATGCAGATTCTACCCTTACTACGAAGTAGAGAGGCTATTTTCAAGAGATCCCCGACTCAAAAAAAGTACATAGATAGAGTATTGATGAGGTTAAAGAAACACACTATTTCACATTGAGGTGACAAATTCAATGACAAAGAGGCAAGTAGTGTGATTACTACCTACCTGGTTCAGTTGCTTGGTGCCACACCTCCTTGACAGATTCAATTTTCCTCTCTATAGGAGCATGCAACACGATGCTGATCGACCCCACCAAGCAGAGGATACACCCAACCACTCCAAACATATGCAACCTTTCGCCCAATATGAAATGTGCCAGCACTGCACTGCATTCATGCCAAAATTTCTAGCATTATGACCTGAAGATAGCTAAAAGCAGCTGTTATCATAGTTAAATTTGAAATATTATAATCTGATTGACCTGAAGATGATGCTTAAAGCCCCCAATGGAGTCACAAGGATGGCTGGGGCATATGCATAAGCAGCGAAATTCGCCGCCTCACCAATTATCACTGCACACAAACAAAAAAAGGACATTTTTTTCTTCTGTAAATTGAAACCAAAATTGAACCATACTTTTTAAGAAAATGACCTTACTAGTAATCATCCCAACCCACCACCATGGTTCAAGCAAATACGAATGGCCTCCCGAACCTGAACAAGACTAAAGAAATCAACTAACTGACCAATCCACAGAAGCAGTGCTTATTAACACAGAAGAAATTTTGAAACCCAGTGACTAACGAATGACCATAATCTGTTTGATGAAATGCAAATTGAGGAAAGAGATGACGAGGGATGTAAAAGAAGATCAAAACCTGCCCTTTTTCCAGTGACACCAGCCTTCATAAGACCCTTTTTCTTGATGATAAAACTCGATCCAATAAAAATGCTGGATGACAGAGCTAAAACCAGTCCACGAACATTGTCAGAGAATCCCCCCATTCAAGATGGGATTTTTTTTAACGCAAAGATCTATCCCACGATTCAAACCCACCCCTGCATTGGAAAGATTGGATTTTTATTAAAACGAATTCAAAAACAATTACCCCCAAGGTGAAAATTGTAAGAGATATTGATGTAATCGAGCCCAAGATTCAAGAGAGAATATTCCGTACGATGAAGTGAAACATGAATACTATTGGAGAAATAAAGAAAACCTTGTTTGAGTTTCTTCGCATGTGCTCACGTGACTGATAAAGATCGATCAGAGCGGTGGCATTCTTTGGGCAGGAGAATGGAATAAGAACAGAAACGCAGAAAATGGAGCATGAAAATGTCGACTGCTTTCGATCTTTTCCGGGAGAGAAGGAGAGTTTTTTTTTTCTTGCAAACACTTCTCTCTTTTTTTGAATTTCTCTCTTTTTCTACTTTTATTCACATATGCCTAAGCTGATTTATTCAAACGTGGGTCGGCGCGAATGGTTTAACCCTCCGTATAATGCCCGGAGTACAATTTCAATAGAAAGAAGAACACGACATGTTATTCTTTTTATACAAAAAAAAACTAGATTTTGCGCATGCCTCTGAATATTACAACAATAAATAATTTATTTATGTAAACAATAAATAGATAAGAACGAGTAAATATGATATATAACAAATTTTAATGCATATCACACCCAAAGTAGTGTCTATTTTGGATTAGAATACCCTTTAATTTATAGAGTTTTTGATTATTTAAGAGTGCATTATATATATATACTCCCTCCGTCCGAAAATGTTCTTTTCATTTGACTTTTTACGATCTCCAAAATTGCACTTTGACCACTGATATCTTTATTTATACATGGATATATTTTATAAAAATTTGATATTTGAAAACTATATTTCATAATGAATATATTCATATTAAAGTTATATCTTAATACAATGTATTTTTTTCACATATCATAGTTAAAGTTTACAAACTTTGACCAAGAAAAGTCAAATGGGAAGAATATTTCTGAACGGAGAGAGTAAATTAAACATGTAATAGTGCTTTATAGATTTTGAAAAAACTTTTTATATATAATATTTGAAGTGTAGTCTGAAGTTGGGTCGCGAGTTAAGACCTTCAGTTCTTAATGATTTTTCACACGGGAGATAGCAATATAAAATTGAGTATAACTAAAAGCTAATTTATAAATAGTAGGCCAACATATGTTAGACATTGCTTCTGAGTCTTGTTAATGATAGAAGTCATGACGAGAAATTGCTTTCTTTGAAACTTGAAAAGAATCTTTTTATTCGAGGAAGTCTTCATTATATTATGTCTAATATCGCATATCAGTTGAATTTAATTAGTGATTAAAAATTGTATGATAAACCACATTTTTAAAACATAATTTAGTGTCATATATTAATCAGCTAAAACCTTTCAAAAAATATATATTAATCAAAAAAAATTCTTCTTGAAAAATAATATTGCATAAATGTAGTCCGTAGTAAAATTACTATGTCTACAATATCTACTTATATTAAAGTTATTTTAATTAGTGATTAAAATATTAAAGTTTGACAGTGAAACATTAAAATTTATCAAGTAAAATAACATTTTGGAAATAAATTATAAAATAAATGTAAAAAATTATTATTTCTATGATATCTAATATCAATTTTATTTTAATTAGTTATTAAAGTGTTAAATTAAAGTTTGACTCTAAAAATTTAAAACTGAATAAATACTCAAAATGAAGATAGTATAGAACTCAAAGGTGATATGTCTAGCCCATATATTGTACTTTTGGGCTTAAGCCCACTACATTAACCTCCATCCCAACTCATGTTTCACACGCCTAATGGGAGTATATCTTACGCTCATACGGTCATACCTTGAGAACATTGGAAAAACAAATTCTTTACTACTTAAATAAGGATTTGTTTTTTTAAAATTAAAAAAAAAAATTATGTGAAAAGATCTGGTTGAGATCCGAACATAAGAATTTTTTCAACCTAAATAAGAATTTTTTATGTGAGAAGGTCTCTAAAATGGTCACGGCTGGTGAGTAGGTTGGGTATGTGGCTTCAATTAGTACCAGCACCGAGTCATATGGTATGTACGTAACTCACTTTTTTGAATTGAAGGATTTTAATTAAAAGAGTCCTTGGCTGATTAGGATTGGGAAAAGTAACAGGCCAGGACTGGAAATGGATGATAATAAAAAAACAATTGGGTGGGCTTTAAAAATTGTGTATTGTGTCGGCCCAACCGACAAAAATAATTGTTTAAAAATTAAAAAATAAATAGTGCCGAAACCCACGTAAAGTTTGCGTTGGCCAAGCCGACACCAGTACATTCTTAGGTTTCCATTTACGTGCATTGGATAAACCTTCACAGACATATTTTTAAAAACTATAACAAAAATTTACAAAAATATTTACACACTTTATCATCTCTTAGACCGACATAAAAATAAATAAGTTATTTGTGTTAGCCAAGCCGACGCAAATTTGCGAGGTCTATTGCCCCCTCACTAACATTGACAACTAATTCGGCTTATTCTAGTAGTGATACCACATGCCCACATTTCTACACTATCAATCATCACTTTACATTCTTTATCCATTATCAATCTTTTTATCAAGTGATATATTATTAGATACATTTTTAGAGTTAACCCTAACATTTTTCATGGTGAATTTTATAGGATCTACAAATTTTTGCCGGCAAAGTGCACATACATGTTACTATGTTTGTATAATGCCGCCTTAATCGTAATTTCATTCCAAAAGGCAATTAGTGAACGACATATTGCTCCTTTTGTTGCTTTAAGATAGGGCTTATCCACATGATTATGCTGCCATTATATTAGCAAATGACCTTTAACCCCATGTTCAAGTACTATACCACCTCATTTGCTTATTGTGCAAAAATAGAAAAACAGTTAATGGTAAATAATGTTCACATGTGTAAATCTCGTATGAGACATAATTAAGAATGTAAAACTTCTTTGGAGCCTACAGTTATGAAGTTTTTGTTCAGTTATTCCTTAACAAATTCCACTATATTTGATCTGTTGTATAAAAAAATGCAAGAGTAAATATTATGAATGGGATAACAATAAATCGTTAATTTGAAGTAGCTCACAATTTTTTCTTTGAAACTTTTTTAACACTATGTTTGGTTCAAAGATTTTGAAAAGAAAAATGAGATGGAAAATATAAATTTTCGAAAAAGAAAAAAAATGAGAAGACAAAATGTACTAAAAGAAGGGATAACCAAATTCCTCTCATTTTGGTGAGTAAAATGAGAGAAAAAATATTTTCTTTTTTTCTTCTCCCAAATTCTTTGAAGCAAACATAGGGTAAAGGTTTACTCCTTAGATTTATTAATGGAATTAAAATGTAGGGTTACTCGTTAGACTTTAATTCATTTATAACTTGAATTTTGAGTATTCGTAGAATCTGAGAAGTGATTTTATACAATTATAATTATATTACATCTGAATTCTAGAATTTGAGTATCCATAGGGTAAAGATTAAATAGTTATAATTGACTTAAGTGAATACTCTATCTATGAGGAGATGAGCCTGGTTCTGATGAGAGATACATATTAAAAACGACCTTGAAAATTTTACAAAATAAAAATACAATTATACCTTTTCGAAATTAATCAAATAATCAATAAAAACTAATCAAATACTATGTAATCAACAAAAGGTGACAAAAAAATTATATTTAATTTGAGAATGACTACAATATTTTATTTAATTAAATGATCAATAAAAATCCATAAATAAACAAAAAATTTTAGAATTTTGAAATAACATAGAGTGCTCTTTTGTTTGGATATAGTATCTTTTATCAAATTCTCATAAAACAATACATCACCAATATAAGAGTGAAACATAAAAAGAGGAAAAATAAAGAGGACATTTGATTTAGAATATAAAATAAATTTCTTTCTAAAAAATCAAACCTCAATATGGGAATAATAATTTTGAATAGCTCATTAAATAATGTTCTAACAGTTCATACGCGTTTTAGAAAATTTCATTTATTTAATTTGATTGATCAAGTAACTTTAATTGATTGAAACTTAACTAAACAAGTGTGGAAGTTTCACATTTGCACAAGTAAATAGGAAATGGCAGTTTTACCCTCATTTGATTTAAATAACATTAATTACCCTAATATTTCATTTTAAGTAAATACATTAAAATTAAATGAATACTCGTATATACATAAAATATACGAAAATACCAAAAATCATTCAATTTTTTATGCATTTTAAAAGTAATAAATTTAAACTCATTTCCACAATTCCACTTGTCTTTATTAATTTCAAGAAATAGTTGTCCATTTCTCACATTTGTTACACATATTTATATTTATAATAACTATCTTCAAATTAAATGACTAGAAAAAATACATCAACAACATTTATAAAAAGAAAAAGAAAGAAAAAAAATGAAGCCAAAAACTATTACAGAGTTGTGCCATCAAATTCCTTTTTTACCCTCGATTGGATGCCGTAATAGCTAACGTACCACTTGACGAACTTTCTCAACCCAGTGGACAAATCAGTCGTTGGTTTATATCCAAAGTCTTTGTAGGCGAGGCTCACGTTAGCGTGGGTGAACGGAACGTCGCCGTTTCGGGGCATCTTGATCACGTTCTTTTTGGCCTTGATGTTCAACAAATTTTCAAGAATTGCCACTAGCTTCCTCACCGACACCGGCGACGTGTTCCCCAGGTTGTAAACCCTCAGCTGCGCCGGCCCCTTCTTCTTTCCGCCGCTGCCGGTGCTCTTCTCCGCCGTATCCAGCGCCCCCATACACCCCTTCACGATGTCGTCAATGTACGTGAAGTCACGCGCCACCTCCTTGTCCTCCTGCGTCACGTACACGTTGATCGCCTTCCCTTGGATCATATCCTTGGTGAAGAAAAAATAGGCCATATCGGGCCTGCCCCATGGGCCGTAAACTGTGAAGAATCGAAGCCCAGTTAAAGAAAGCCCATAAATGTGGTTATAAGTGTGAGCGATTTCTTCGCCGGCTTTCTTGGTGGCCGCGTAGAGGCTCGCCGGCTGATCCGTGCGGTGGTCCTCGGAGAAAGGGACGTCGGTGTTGAGCCCGTAAACAGAGCTCGAAGATGCCCAGACAATCGCCGGCTGAGGATCGGCGGCTTTCGCCACTTCCAGGAGGCTGACGAACCCGGCGATGTTGGAACTGACGTAAGAGAGAGGATTCTGCATCGCGTATCTCACGCCGGCCTGCGCGGCGAGGTGGAGCACGTGGGTGAACGGCACAATGTCGAAGAGCTTCTTGAGAAGCTCGCCGTCGTTCAGATCTCCTTCCACGGTGAAGATCTGGTGTTTCTCCAGAAGCTTCTGGCGAGCGCGTTTCAACGACGGATCGTAATAAGGGTTAAAATTGTCCAACCCCAAGACGCCGTCGCCTCGCTTCTTGAGCGCCAGAGCAGAGTGGGACCCGACGAATCCGGCGGCGCCGGTGACCAGAACGGAGAACCCGTTGGTGCGGCGGGGAGTGGACGACCCGCGGACCCGCTTCTCCCAAGACGCGCCGCCGCCGTAGAAGGCGGACGAGAACAGGCTGTGAGTGGTGGAGCGGACGGTGGCGCGGTGGCCGGAGCCATCGGAGACCGGCGGGTAGTTGACGGTGAAGAAAAAGATCAGCAACAGGGCAATCAAGAGAGTGATTCTGAAGAGGAGCTTGGAAGAGGCGGCGATGAGTTTGGTGTTGTTGACCTTGCGGAGATAGCTGTGATAGCGATCCAACTTGGCGGTTTTGCTGGTGTCCGGCGGCGACGCGGCGGCGGTCAAATGGAATTGCATTCTGAACGGCGGGGGTGGCTTTCTTTATTTCACGGCGTGTCTTATTTTTCTTTAATTGCAAGCCCACCCCTAAAGAGAAAGAGTGTGTAAATAAATAAGAGTATTTATAGGAACAAATAAGAGCGTTGTGATTCTTGTGGTGATGAGAATGGGTGGGTGTCGGTTGGATGTGCCCAGACCCAATTATGAGCTCGACTATCCATACGGCCCGTAAAAGCCAAAATAGACTTCCAATTATTAACATGCGGTCTTGAGAGAATTGATAGATTTTGATTGCAAATTACGGAGTAAATGAAATTGATAATAGATTTTGATATGAAAAATAATAATTTAATTAAATTTAATTACACAGTATTTATAAAAAATTATACAGAGTAATACATAATTTAATTTAATTTAATTATAAGTCAAATATTAAAATTGATTGTTTGAAAAAACTTAAAATTAGATAAATATTCTGGGGCGAAACTCGTAAATTTAGATTTTAAAATTTTTAGTTCAGACAAAGGTGAAACAGCTATCTTAGATATCTCCAACTCTCACTCTCTCAAGAATGATACAACAACAACAACAACTCAGGTGAATCCCACAACAGTAAGGTCTGGGGAGGGTGTGTGTACGCAGACCTTGCCCCTACTCGGAAGTAGGGAGGCTGTTTCCAAGAGGCCCCCGGCTCCACTTGCACAAAAATATGGAAGGGGATACATGTTGAAATGTTAAATGTTGAAATGTGCCTCACCATACCAGCGTCTATGGACTTTCAATTTAATCTTGCCTTCGAGGAAGCCAAATCCAAAGTAAAGTCGGGTTTTGAACATATTATAATGCCTTGAATTTAACCCGTTTACAGCAGAGAGTACGGGGGTATACAATGTTGATGTATTGTGCTATTAATTATTTGTCAATTCTGCATTCTGGGCCCAGGCCTGTTAGGGTGTAGCCTAGAACTATATATATATATATATATATATATAGGGGCCGGTTCCCGTGAGAATGCATCTTGTAGAGAGAAATGAGAATAAAATCTAGCCGTCGGATCTGATGCATCCTGCGGCTCAGATTGCATCCTGCGCTCAGATTTTGAGATAGTGCATTTTCGAAGGTTTATGGTGCATTTTGACGTGATGCATTTTCGCACCATTTTGGTGCATCTAATTTTGATGAAATCTCGACCCTTAGATCTCATAATCTAAAGCACCAGATTCATTCTCATTTCTCTCCTAAGATTGCATTCTCACCAGAACCAAAATCTATATATATATATGTGTGTGTGTGTGTGTGTGTGTGTTATCACAAACTCTAAATTGTATTTTGTTCTTGCCTCTCTATAATAAAACTGCTCCCCCTCTTGCCCGTGGTGTAGCCAATACAATATTGGTGAACCACGTAAATCTATTGTCGTGTTTTCGTGTTTATATTGTTATTCTTGAAATCCATAACATAAGACTCCACTCCGCAAACCATCAAACTTACCATCTAAGTATATACAGAGTATAATGCTGAGGTCCAGCTTGAAAGCCAACCGAACCCGCACTTTGACTAAGCCTAGATGTGCCAAATAATATCATCGTCATTTTTGAAACAATTAAAAGAATTTCGATTTCTTTTTATAAGTTATCCTTTTCTTTTGTTGTTTATTTTAGAGATTGATATTAGTTTATAGATAAGCGCAATATGATTAGTCAAGGTCAGGAGATGTTACATGATCACATAAGCTACTTGAGGGAAGATTCATGAGATTTCAGTTCGAATTTTAAGCACCAACCATACAAAATGCTACATTATTTATAAACACCAACGTTCCAATGTGAGTTATCGACTTTTATTTGTTCTGAAATATCATTATTTCATAGTCAACATCAAGTATCAACTTCTTTTATTTCATTTCTGCCTAGAATTGACATGATGGCTTGATGTTTATGTTTGAGCTCGTGAAATGTCGAGCAGTTGATAGTTGATGATGGTAGTAATAATAATGCCAAGACTTTTGTGGAAAAGTGACATATCACATAAGTGTGACTCTCTCAAATGTAAGAACACAAATTCAATCTACAATGGAGGCACTAACTCTTTGAGTTATAGTAAATTGAAAAAGCACGAATAAACAAATGCTATATAATACGGAGTAATAGATTTAATAATGATACTAATAATAATAAGAATAACATTAACATAAAAAAATAATGGTAACAGTTATTGTTTATTAAACACACATACGAAGTATATGCTTCTAATGAGAAAAAAGTATAGGTATATTTATAAACATATTTAATTTTTTTACTTATTTAATGTTTTTTAATGCTATATTACATATTGTATGTAATTTTTATGAATAAATAAAAAAATAATTATTTTTTTCATAATTAATAAAAATTTGATAATAAATAAATATATAAATAAAAAATTGATAATTAAATTAATCAATCAATTAATAACTAAATAAATAAGTAAGTAATAAATAAGCAATAAATAAATCAATAGTCATTCCCCGTGTAAAATTCAATAAGGGATTTGCGAGAAAAAAAATAATTTTTTGAACTTCTTTTGAGAACTTGGCATAGAAAAAATAAATTACTCGTATATATTTAAAAAACTACATTAAAAGCTCTTCGATACAAAAGATGATATAATTTTATTATTCAATTAGATCAAAACTTAATTCAATAAAATCATGATTATTCAATATAATGACCTAAATTACAACATTTCGGTTTTGGCAAAAATAGGCACAGACTTTTGATTTCACTTTATGCAATTAGATTACATGAGGCAAATAAACCTTCTTGAAATATAATCACCATTTTAAACTTTCTTTGCTTTTAATTTCTCATCATTCAATCAGTAAGCATCTAAATCAAGAAAAATACTACCGAGAGATGTTCTACTTCAAAAAAATCTAGAAATGGTGGGTGCATTTTGGAAACCGAAACACGAGATTCTTCCACACCCAAATGGTTATTGAAATAAAACAGAATTAGGATAGATGACATTTTCATAAGCTCTAACGTTTGATTTTAGCATTTCGAAAAGTTTCAGTGTATGAAGTTTAAACATTTTTAAGGTTAATCTCTATCACTAATAAATTTATCTAAACTACTAAAGCTATTTGAAAATGTTTATTCGTAACGCCGACCTATATAATTTCATTATTTTTTGTTCGGATCTCAATGTCTCAAACATGAGGGTTGAGAATTTATTTGTCCAGACTGACTTGGACCTTTTAGATTAGATAGCACCCAATCTGTTGGTAAATAGATTGGGTATCTTATCTCGTCCAATTTTTTTTCATACGGAGTATTGAAAAACCAATCCAATTCAAAATTGAAATAATTTCATCGATTGGCCTGAAATTTATACAATTTTACATATTCAGGATTATTCCATATTTTTAAATACTCTATATCCTTATTTTTTTTGCATTAGGATTGTTGCAACATCTACTTAACATGTTCTTCAAAATGAATTGTCAATGCAATTCAACTTTTTTCTCAAACTTTTAAATCATCTGCAACCACATAGTAATATTTTTAATAATCTGACCAGATCAAAGAGGGAATAGAGTTACTCCGTTGTTACGTCCTCAAATCGGCATACACAAGGGCAAGGTCAAGGGTCCGGATCCGCGGTACCAATTTGTAGGGAGAATCTTGATCGAGTGGTCGAGGAGGAATTGCCGGGTGTACGACGCAGTACACGGGAGAGAAGACCACCGGCTTGGTGGAAAGATTATAAAGATTAATAATATATGTGTTATGGTTGATTTAATTATTGTAACGTAGTTTTTTATTAGGTGAGCAAATTATAAGCTCCTTCGAGAGTTTCTTTTCGGTTCTTTACCTCGATGCTTTTCTTGAACCGACAGGTTAGGAAATTAGTCATTAAGGCTAGGGTTTGGAGACTCCTATTTAATTGGAGGAAGTATACGTTCAATGCATGGAATGAAAAATCCTCTCCTTCACCCTATTCTTTCTGTCTTCTTGCCTCTCCCTCTTCGGCCGTTTCTTTCTCTTCCCCAACCTCTCTTCCTCCTTCTCTCCTTCACAATTCTTGGTTCTAGGGTCTGCAGTTTGGAGGCACTCTGAGCCCTCCTAGACGGGTACGAAAGTAGAGTTTGTATCAACTGGTGCTTTCATCATGTCGGACGATTCAACTTCACCCACAAGCCGCGATTTGCGGGAAGAACGTTTGGTCAACTTGCAACAAACGATGCATCAAATGCAGCAGGATTTGGAGTCGAAACTAGCGCTTCTCGAGGCCTTGGTACTGGCAAATCGGCCGGTGCTGCCCACACCACCACATGGACGTGGGGGTTTCGGTGGTACACCAGCGCTGCAGACGGGAGAGAATTCTGGCACTGGTGTGCATGGATCGCTGCCCAGACCGAAGCTGGAGGCCCCCAAGACGGATGGTTCAGCGCCTCTCCGTTGGTTGTACAAGGTCCAGGAATACTTCACTTTTTATGATACGCCGCCGGCCGAAAGGTTGCGTTGTGTTGCGTTGATGTTGGAAGGACCGGCTGCGGACTGGTTTCAGTGGCGCATGAACGGTAAACTTATTGCTGATTGGGCCGACTTTGTCGAAAAATTCAAGCTCCGTTTCGATCCCCTATATTATGTCGATTACTTCGGGCAATTAGCAAAATTACGACAGACGGGGTCGGTGATGGATTACCAATCGGAGTTCTTCGGAAGCCAATTTAATGTCCTTATTTCATTCCGGGCTCAAACCTCACTTGAAGCATGAGATCGCGCTTCTAGCCCCGGAAACTTTATCGGACTCTTTTGCCATGGCTCGAGAGTTAGAGGCTAAACACGCTGCCCTCATACAGTCTGTCCAGGGCCGCCCTCCCTCATGGACTGCCGCAGGGCCGAATCGTGCCTTGCCTCAAAAAACGTCACTGCCAGGTCCTCCTTCCGCTGCCGGGGATGGCACACCACTGGCCACTCCTATTCGTCGTCTTACTCGAGCAGAGAAACTTGAGAAAGACGCCAAAGGCTTGTGCTACAATTGTGATCAGCGTTGGACAAAGGGTCATCGATGTGGGCGGGTGTTACTGTTGATTGGGGATGATGACGAC